AAAAAAATATTTATTGATTTATGCCTACAGAACTGGAGTACAGGCTAAAGGTGCAGGGAGAGTGGAGGATTCACCAGAGACAAAGTAGGGAGCATAACAGACTGATTCATGGAGTACACTGCTGAGGGGAACAGCAGGCGGGTCAGGAGAGGTCTGACACGCCATGTGGGTCACCTCCGGGGCAGGCGGGGATTGAACTCATGTGGAAGTAGCTTTAGATTCTTAGTGCTGTACTTTAACATGCTGCGCCACCAGGGAGGGTCCCATTTCTCTTTTTTCAATGGTCTACATTAAGATCATTTGATATTTTTCTTTTTCTTTCTGGCTTATTTAACTGTGTAATTCCTTTCAGCTCTATCCATGTATCTGCAAAGGCACGAGTTTATTATTTTTTGATTGCTGAATAATAGTCCATTGTGTTAAAAACTCATCAATAAAAAGACACAGAGTAGTAGGCTGGATTAAAAAGCAGAACCCAACTTTGCTTTCTGCAGGAAACACATTTAGCTACAAAAGATAGACATAGACTGAAAGTAAAAGGATGGAAAACAGTCCTCTTCATTTTTAATATGTGCTATGTTAGCCAATAGTTATGCTGAGCCACCTGCTTGAGTGGCTAGAATAATGTTGCAGATTATCTATTTATTTTTAATTTGTGTTTTGAAGTTCCATATGTTTGGAGTAGAAAGTCCCAAATCAATTTTCCTCCCAGTTTTTTGTTTTGAATTTTGCAAAATGTGATGATACTTTCTAGTAATGCATATACTCATTCTAGCAGAACATGTATTCTAGCATATAGGGAGATTGGACAGGAAAAATCAGAACAGCAAGGACTGTTAACTTAGTTAGTTAGGATGTATATTTTTCTTCCCTGAATTTGTTGAAGCATTTCTATTCTTGAGGAAATCAGTGAAGGAAGAGGAAAGTTGCCTGGCTATTAATGGGAATGAAAAGCTCGAGGAATTGGGCCACTTCTTGTAAATACATAGGAACCCTTCCTGCCCACTTGAGGAGGTCCAAAATGAGGAAGTTGCTCTGACTGAATAAAGACAAAACCCACCTGGAAAGTGAAGCATCCCCCTGAGGATCTGGACTCTAATTAGAGTTGTCTGATTGAAAAAAGAAAACAAAAATCTGTCTGTGAGATAACAGGGAGATACAATATTTTGATTTTTCTTAGCACAATGAATTTTGCTTGGTAATTTTTATTTTCTTGATTGAGTTTATGCACATGTAGTTCAACCATGTGTTCCTATGAGTTCCTTGAAAATGAATCTTGCTCCAATTGCTTTATAGGTCAGCTGGGTTTTCAGAGATTTGGAATAGTAATTACTGCTGTACTTAACTGTTTCTTTATTCATTTACTTATTCACAGCATATTTTGAAAGTGTTTTTTTTATTGAGCTGGAGAGTAAGGATATAAAAACAGGCCTTGTTCTCACTTAGTCTGTGGGCTCATTACTGATGGGGAGGAGGGTTTAGAAAAAACTCATGTGTAGTATGGGCCCTCCCTGGTGGCGCAGCAGGTTAAAGCACAGCACTGAGAAACTAAAGCCACTTCCGCATGAGTTCTATTCCCGCCTGCCCCGGAGAAGATCCACATGGCGAGGCAGACCTCTCCTGACCTGCCCGCTGCTTCCCTCAGCAGTGTACTTCATCGATCTGCCTGTTCTGCTCCCCACTCTGTCTCTGGTGAATCCTCTCACCCTCCGCATTTCTGGCCTGTACCCCAGTTCCATATGAATAAATAAATAATCTTTAAACAAGGAAAAAAGAACTTTCGTAATTTAAAAAACAAAACAAAACTAATGTGTAATCACTGGTAACACACTGAAGCCCAACGTAAAAACAATGCCAGACAGCATTTATTGAGTACTTAATACAGGTGAGGCACTGCCCAATGTCCACCACAGGGTGAGTGTCATTCAGGCCCACAGCCACTTGAAAATCCCACCAAACACATCAGTCTTTTTCACTCTGCCTTGGATCTTCCTATTCCTTTCCTCTGACTTCACATGAATCCATTTCTTTGTTAGTGTTCTTCTAAACCATCACATATACTCTTTCAAACCAGGCTTTATTAAGATGTAAGTGACATATAACATTGTATACATTTAAGAAGATAATTAGCTGATATGGCAACGTGGTTGCCACATAGCACTTGCTAGCCACTCCTTCATGCCATATTCCCCCTTCATTTCTTTCTGTGATAAGAATATTACAAATCTATAGTGTCTTCACAACTTTCAAGTGTGTATTACAGTGTTGTTACTATAGTCACTATGCTGTACATTAAATTTCCAGAAAATTTTCATTTTATAACTGGAAGTTTGTACTTTTTCACCAATACTTCCTCATTCTCTCCACCACCATTCTGTTCTTGATCAGTTCTCCTTTTATGCATCCACATATTAGTGAAATTATACAGTATTTTTTCCTCTGACTTCTTCCATTTAGCACACTGTATTGTTAAGGTCCATTCATGTATTGCAGTGGACAGAATTTCCTTCTTTATTCTGGCTGGATAATGTTCCACTCATGCAAGTCCATATGTGTATAGCTTTATATCTATCTTTATTCATTTACAGACATTTAGATTGTATGTATGTCTTGGTTACTGTAACTAAAGCTGTGATGTACATGGGGTTTCAGGTTATCTCCTAGATATCTTGTTTTTATTTCCTTTATGAAGTATATACCCAGAACCAGAAGAAGTGGATCATACTGTAACTACTTTTTAATTTTTTCCGGTAGTGACTGCTCCAGTTTACAGCAGTGCATAGGGCTCAAAATTCTTCATACCTCCCGTAATGCTTGTTACATTGTCCTTTAAAAAAAAATAATAGCTGCTCTAACAGAGGTCTAACTGTGGTTTTGATTTTGCATTTCCCTGATGATTAGAGATGTTGAGCACTGTTTCATGTACTTGTTGAGCATCTGTGTATTTAATATGAGAAAATGTCTATTTCACTTTCTCTCTCCATTTTTAAATTATGTGTTTGATGAGTTCCTTATATATGTTGGCTTTTTTTTTAAATCATATGAAACTTTATTTTTGGCATGAGTTTTTTTAAAATAATATAATAGTTTATTTTTACATCATATTGTGCATTTTTCATCTCACTTATATGTTGACTTTTAACCCCTTGTCAGATAATATGGTTTGCAAATATTTTTTTCCATTCTAGAGGCTATCTTCTCATTTTACTGTGTCTTTTGCTGTGCAGAACCATTTTAGTATGATATCCCACTTACTACGTATTTTTGATTTTTTTGTGCATGCTTTTGTTATCTCCATAAAATCATTGTCAGCATCAGTGTCAAAGTGGTTTTTTTTTTTCCCCCTTTGTTTTCTTACAGTTTTATAACTGCAGGTCTTATGCTTAAATCTTTACTCCATTTTGAGTTAATTTTTGTGAGTGTTGTAAGATAAGAGTCTAATACCATTTTTCTGCCTATGGCTACTCATTTTATTTAACACTGTTTATTAGACAGATTATCCCTTCTCCACTGAGTGTTCTTGACTCCCATGTCAAGTGTTAGTTAACTGTCATGATGGGAATGTCTTTCTGTGATTTTAATTCTGTATCTTTGGTCTTTGTGTGTATATTTATACCAGTACCATTTTGCTTTGATTACTACATAGCTTTATTGTATACTTTGAAGTCAGGAAGAGTGATGCCTCTGGCTTAGTTAGTTTCTTATGAACTGAGAACTTTACTTTGGCTATTGAAGTTTGTTTTATGGTTCCATATA